CTTATTCCTCCACTCTTCCAGCAAACATTACTGACCATAGCCCATATTCCTTGCGACCAATGAACACAACCACCCCCACTGACGGATAAAGGAATAGTTCAACTTAACATTCTCTGTCATTATTTAATATTATTTATAATATAATATTAATTTATTTATCACTTAATATTCATCTAAAAATGATCATTCCATGGAAAAAATGTATATGGGTCTGTAGCAACATGGTAGCCTGGTTAAAACCAGACCATTCTCAGTTGTAACTGAGTTATGGTCTGGCAAAGCGTCATAGACAAATCGTTTCCAGAGGGGCGTCACCAACGGACGTCGCGGATAGACCTAAACCCAATCAGAGCGATGAAGGAGATGACGTATGCAGAGCGGCGGAGAAACATCTCCGAGTGTTGTTCTTTGCTCGGTTTTTAACAAAAAGGAAACGTTCAAATGGCTTAAAACAGACGCGATAGCTGATTGGAACGAGTGATGTTCGACGGCGGCATCCATCTTTGTAATGTAGGCTACAAAATCTGCTTCAAAATCCCAGCGCTGTCGTCATCGTGTAAAGCCCGCCCCAACGCTTCTGATTGGTGCCTCGATTTCGACGGATTGGAAATGGGCTTGAATGAGCTCTTTGCCAGACTAACTTTTAGAGCAAATCTAAATTTGCCGGAAGTTGTCTGGGTTTTCCCAGGCTAGCAACATGGTGCAGTGAGCCGTCTGATATGCTAACAAAGCCTGGGGTGAGGTGTGGACATCTCAGGCCATATATGGTTAGGAGCTGATGTTAAAAGGCCATGTCAAAGAGAATGCCAGACACATTTATGGTTCATGTATGATAATGCTTGTACGACAAGCAAAGACGGGTGACATGTCCCCCGTTTCAGGTCATTTGTTAAATGCTTGCATGCATGTCGCAGTTCATAGTTGATGACCTATTCATTCGATCCATGCACAGTCTGGCATGACATCTAACACCCTTAAGATATACAGCCACCTCGTGCACCATGTGGTTTGAGGTAAGTCTTATATCAAGCACTGCCATTTAGCTAATAGCATCAAGCATCTTGCTATCAGGTTCTGGGTGGCTGCTGTGGTTCCTAGGGTGTTCTGGTTGGTTAAGATATTGGCCAAAGTCAAAAAAGTCCACCCTGCAAATCTTCATGATATACATATACATATACAAATCACTTGGGTAATTGCCACAACTTTGAAAAACCACTAACAAACAAAAACAAATAATGCATAGATTTACAAATGAAGGACGAATAAAATGAATACAACACCTTTGGACAAGTGGTTTTTAGACTCATTTTCCCCCCATGCTGCCTCCATTTGCCTGGTCATTCATTCAGATGTTTAGTATATCTTGATTTGTGATTTCTCTCTCGCTCTCCTTTGATCACCTCCTCTCTCTCTTCTCCTCTCTTCCTCCCTCTCTCTGTTCTGATTTTAATGCTCTTCCAATCAGTGTGTCCATTAAGCGCAGAGCTCATCAGTGCACGTTTACTCACGCATGCAGATGAGCTCCAATTGCAGTGTATTGCAAACGCCTCAGAGACCTCCTTGGGTTAGTGTGTGTGTGTGTGTCACACTGAGATGGAAGAGATGAAAAAGAGAAGGGCTACAGTTAAATGGGCCTTGAGAGACTGCAGATGAGTGTGTATTGCTGCAGAAGTGAATCTGTATGTGTGTGAACAAAAAGACACAATGAGAGAGACAGCAAGAAGTGGAGTTGAATGTCAGTAATCCATACTCTCTTGGCAAGGTGCGTGCATGTGTGTGTGTGCGCAATCTCCTTAGTGATGGGAGTTTCTGATGGCTCTCAGAGGAGGGGTAGATGTAATGAGAGTGAGAGAGAACATTTCTGTGCTGAGTGAGCGTGTCCGTTGGGGCCCAGACCTGCGTTTCAGTTCTTAATGAACTTTCACAACCCATCCCACTCCCTCGCTTACACAAACACTAAATGCATATTCTTTTTCACCTCTGACTCCTTTACTATAGTGCTAATTGTACCTCCTTCCATAATTGTAGGTGGGCTTGTTAAGGCTAGCTGTAGACAATATATTGTCTCCTATTAGGGTTACGGCTTTAACACAACACTATACCCTTAAGTATTAAACCTTGACATGCCACTTGTCCTAGACTACACATTTGCAGATTGTCAAGGAAAACTGCATTATAAGCAGCCAAATTTTCTCTTGGTGGTTGATTAAAAAAAAAGAAGGAAAAATTCCCATGGACTTTCAGTGAAGGAGGGTCTTTGCCCAGAATAAAATGTTAATGATGTGAATACAGTTGTTTTCAATGCAGATTTGTCATTCCTACATTATGCCAATCTTTTTTCACTTATGACTTCCCTTAGAATCAGAAATGAATGAAATTTGGCATGTATCCTCAGATGACCTTGACATCCATGTGTACCAAGTTTTGTGAACCTTGGATTTAGCATTCACAGGACACAGGCCAATTTATTCATTATGGGCAACGCCTAAAAATGTTAATTAAATGGATAAAATCTGTTATTTAACCAATCAAAGTTATTTTGACACATTTTTGTCAAGGTTCTCACCAATTTTCATGCAGGTTGAATGAAACAGCCAAGAAAGACTTCAAAAATTCATCCCATATGTGTCCAGGGATATAAAGAAAAAATATAACTTATCACAGCGCCACCTTGCGCCAACCCCCACAAAATGGCACAGAACCTCTTCTAGAAAGAAAATATAATAATAATAATAATAATAAAAAGAAAATCAGCACAAACAAAAGAGTGTTCCAAGAGAAGGGGGTCCTGAAAGCTGCCAGCAGCGTGTGATGACGCACAGCTGAAGCTAATTCTGTCTCATCACTAAAGCTGTAAATCCAAAAGAGCGCCTCTCCTTCGGGGGATCCAGTCTACTAAGCATGGACCAGGTGTTCTCAAGGTCTCAACTCGACATGAGGCTGAACAGCCTGAGCATGATGAGCACACCACAACCCTGGCTGATCTCCAACAACGTTCAACATCATAGCATGAGTACCATGCACTTCAGCTCTAAAGCTGACATGTGAGGAATAGTGGACGTGCTTGGGGAAGTCGGGGTGATTCAACAGCTAGCATTGATTGTTGAGGAAAGTTCAGAACGGTATGGCAACTTGTTTAATAAACACTTTTTGTTATACTGGCTGAACCACTCTTCACATCCAAATAGCAATCAATAATAGAAGTGGTCGAAATATTAAAGTATAAAAAATGGGGGGAAAAATCGTCCAATCATTGCATTCGGTCCGAACTCAATGATACGATGTCCTACCTGCCTAACAACATATGTATTTTCAAAGCTCAGAGCTCTAATGCTTCCAAAGCTAGCTTGCTATTGCTAGCCTCTCTGAAAAGTGCCTACCCTACCTTTCAGTATTTTTTTGTATTTGTCCGCTACAAATCACGTCTACAACAGTATTCCACACTCTCTAGAACTACAATACCCATCATGCTCAGATATACTACCACTTCTATAAAACTTGTGCACGGAAATATCCCCCAAGAATTGTATTTGTGAGTAAATCAATTAAATAAATGGAAAAGTAATGCACATCTATTTTGTAAATGCATGTTACAGAATTGTGAATGATTCATCCATGACCATGTCTGATGCAGTACGCCAAAATTGTCCAATCATTTAGTCCATTTAAACCCCAGCCCTCTACATTCGACTGCTAGCTTGAATTCATTTCTGAATATAATGCCTCAAAGTCATTTCAATAACCGATGGATTGAACCAAGTCTATACTCAAGTTTTTTTTTTTTTTTTTTTTTTTTGATAATCCATTATCTCGCCATACGGCGGGAAAGATCTGTCGGTATGTCCATTTTATTGGGACTTTAAAAAGCAACTCTGACATTATGGTGAAAATATAACAAGTAATGAAAGATGTACATAACGCACGTCAATCGTAACGTTACATCCAACACTACTATCAACTGCTCCAACACCCACTCCTAAACACTGATTAAAATGAATGCTGAAGTCCTCACACTCATAGTTCTAATTAATTAATCAAATTCAGCTCAAAACATAGGCCACAACCTAACATGTGATTATTGCTTAGTAATTGTCCATCACCTTCATTCTACAGGACAAAAGAGTGGTGGAGTGGTGGAGCACAAATCAGCAGGGCACTAAAACCAACCCTTTAGTGCTCCTGAAACATGACCTGGAAACACTTGTCGTTTTTATTGTTCATTACGGCACAGCATGCAACGCACTACGCTAACTAATCCCATTACGCTAATCCACCTCAAAACAACTTATTGTGCAGATAAGACTGTGTATAATTTATGCAGGATTCAAATGAGCACCAAATCAGAATAATTAATGGAGGCCCCGGCTTAATTAGCCTAGCATTGGGAAACGCTTACGTTCTCAACAAAATGGATGTGCGACCCGCTATTTCAAAGAGCCCAGAGGGGAGGGAGACCAGGAAAGCACCTTTTTATGATAGCAGCACCCAAAAGTATTCTATCTGTACCTGTCTCGTCCCTCCGGAGGAGATTTGCGTGGAGAAGCCGAGTAAATGTTAATCCTCCATATGGATGTATTTTGGGAAATTAACCGATTCCGCATTTGCTTCAAACTCTTTGTAGTCTGAAGTTGGTGTGGAAATTTTGCAAATCTGTCACAGTTGGGGTGACATTTAACTAGGCGACAAAGCTGTTTATGGGAACACAAAGCTACACAGGGAAGCAGAGTTTGGTGAGTAGCACTGCCTTGTGTTTATTTCAGAAAAGTTTCCAATCCAGCAATCACCAATGATAAATTCGGCAATCTATGCACTGATGAATAAAAGATTCCCTTATTAAACATAACCTCCATTGAAACTGCCTCAGGCCTCAGTGAATGATAGCGAGACTGAGGGTCAAGGTGAGGTCTTCTTATTAGTACCAGGGAGTCCCACATACTCGACACGTTATGCTAACGCTAGTTAAATAAAGTGATTTGAGCACCTAAGGCTGTTCACCCTACCTGAACATGTCGCCCAGGCCCTTCAGCACGCCTTTCTTGGCTTTGTTCTTGTCTTTCTTGTCCTTCCCTCCACGCTCCTTCTTGTCATCTTTGGTGCGTCCTCCATTCATGTGTTTCTCTGTGTTGGAGGGTGGGAGGGTGAGGTCTGTGGCAGTGGAAATGGAGTCACGGCCAGACCGAGAGCTTTCCTCTGTATCTTCTTCCACTGAGATGGTGGAGAAAGTGGGAGAGAGATATATAAACAGACAGACAAAAAGACGAATGTCTAAATCAGACTATGCAAGTCACTGTAAGCTCTGGAGAAAGAGCAATACTTAGTAGCACAGGGTTGGGTTTGCCAAATAACACATTTCCACCAAAAACGACACCCTAGCAACCACTAAAAACATGACATATCCCAAAAACATAACTTAAGCAACCACATAGCAATGCCCTAGCAACTTGCTGGTTTGCCCTGCTAATTATTATTTATTGATTTAAAAAAAAACATACTAATTTTTTTTTTTTTTTTTGTCTGGCAAGTACAACTGACATTTTCAATAAAAAAAATGATCAAATTTGATCAAATAAATAAAATAGAGAACAAATACGGGCTAATGTAGTGTCTCAATGCAGAAACCCTCAATGGTCCGACTTCTTTAAACATTGGCTTACTGAAACCTCTTAATGAGACCTCGTCTGGAAGTCCAACCATATCTAACAGAGACTCATGAGCATCTCATCCCTCCTGAATCTCTTCTCATTTTATTCCTTAGCTGAGTTTTACCTCAGAGGTTATTCAATCTAAAGGAACCCCATTATCTTTTTGCCTCTAAAGGGTCACGACTTCCCACCACAGTCTGGCCATCTTAATAGTGGTTATCCAGGAGCAGTGCAGGGAGCCTATTAGCGTTATTCCTCACTGAGCCAATAAAACTAACAGAGAAAGTGAACTCAGAAGTTCAAAAGGCTAAAGTGAGACGAGGTCCATCTACTGTTCACCTCACCATTCTGCACATGGTATTTGAGGACCACATAGTCACTTTCAACTACTTTTTTTTCACCAACGGGTTCTGTATAAGTTTCAACTGCTAAAGTCGGGGTCTAGACATCATGCAGTCAGAATATAAACGTTACAAGAGATGCAGTTGGACTGCGTGCTTTTGTTCTATGGAAAAAGTATCTCTTTTTGCATTCCATGGAAGTCATAGAGGTTTGCTGATCATTACAGAAAGAATTGCTTTGCTAACAGATTTATTTTTTATCACGTCACCACACTATTAGGATGTTTACTGGGAAGACAAAGAGTTCAGCTCTTCTAATGGACAAGCTGAAGGCGGGAGGTATTCTCACAGCACTCTTAACATTTGATAGCCCATGAATTTTGTAACACACATTTTATGGATTCCAGTCAAAGGGATGATGCATTTCATTGATCATATATTAAAGCAAGTAGGTTTGGAAAAGCGGGAGAATCTCTGTGCGAACATTTTATTTTGAAGTATCGTTTGCAATGCTAATTCATTTCCTACCACCTATCTTCGTGATACGTTGCACATCAGTGTAATCATAAGGGGCCGCAGCTGGCTGACATTGCTCATTTCCATTTCAGCACCCGTCTGATTACAGCTACTGTCTCCATTCCTGATGGTCTGGATGTGATTAATTTGTCACTAATTGTAAGTTTAAAAACGCTCGGAAAGCAGGAAAAAAATTAGGGGGCACTAAAAGCAAAGTGCTTTTGAATAGAGCGACGTAATGGCGGAGACGCGGTGCTGGAGACAGATGCCTGTGTGATTAGAGCTTATTAATAACCAACAAATCTCTGACGTGAGTGAGAACTTTGATGGCTAGAAGAAAGGCCCTCGTGAAAGCGAGAGACCATCATGGATATTTCTGCATGCTCGTGAGGGGAAGATGGTGGCCACTCGTTCCTTGTGTTTCTGTCATTCTGCCATCTACTGAAATTATATCCAAAAGGATTAGCGCAAGACGAGGACAGTGTGGTCAGTGTGAGTTATTCTCTTAGAATAAAAGGTTTAGTGGGGTTCTATATAGAGTGCTAGGGTTCTTGATTCAATTTTAAAGAACCCTTTATGCCAAAAATGTTCTGTCTTAAATGTAATGTCTTAAATGATTGCATAATACTTTCATGTTTAACAGGTTTTTTTCTATTTTCTTTTTTTAAGGAATTTATAAAATTGAAAAAAATGATTAAATATAACTAGGTTACACTTTATTTCGATAGTCCACTTCAGACATTACTAACTACCAACTAACTTTGCAACTACATGTCAACTAACTCTCATTAGAGTATTAGTAGACTGTTAGGTTAGGGTTCGGGTTAGTAGATTAATTTCACATGTACTTGTAAAGTTACTTATAGTCAGTATAATGTCTGTTGAGGAGCATCAGAAAAAAGTGTTAGCAGAGATTAAGCAGACATTCTACTAATACTCTAATGAGAGTTAGTTGCAAAGTTACTTATAGTTAGTTGAATGTCTAAAATGGACTATTGAAATAAAGTGTTAAAGTAACAACAGGTAACTTTTGCTCTCAGGGTCCCCCTACAGTTGGGAAACAGTATTGTCCTCTACTACTGTCGTAAACTCTGTCATCCTACATGCACGTGCAATTGTTGACAACCAGGATAGCCCTGAACACTGTAGGAGGAGGTCACATGCAGGTGTTCTGCTTGCGTCGCGTGTGAAATGTCTTCATCCCAGGTACAGTGGCATATATTTCAGCATGTCATATGAATATAATTTCATGGGTTTTATTTTTTTTCTAACGACAAATGATCGCGATGCTCACGTTTACAAGCCAGCGTCATTATAGTAGCCTAGTCTATTGGTTACCGTTTTACTGGATCTATATGATACTTCAATGCAATGTTTGAGTGGTTGATAATAACCATCGTCAATATTATAATATCAAGCTACCATAAATGAATCTGCAAATTTTACAAATCGATTTGCATTATAGCTTGAGGCAAGACAAATAAACAAATATCACAGACATGTTAGGTATCCTAAAATATGATTTTATTAATAATCTTCCTCCTTTCTTTGTACATGTTGAGTAGACTACACTTTTTAGGTCAAACATTTGCTATTTGCATTTCATCGATTGCAAAGTTCAAATCAGAACGAGAATACTAGCGATAGCTAACCATCAAAAACTAGAATATCGTTTACTAGCTACCAGATTGATAATTCACTACTACTCTAGCGAATTAGAGAGGTTAGAGAGAGGCATTCTTTTTTCGATGGAGGGTTCGATGCTCCCTGCACACGCAAGGTCTCTCGCTCGCTTTCTCTCTCTGCCGTCCGCGCGCGTTGGAGCACAGTCTCTGTCTCGCGTGCGCGCTCGCTCTAGATTCCGGGAGATTTGAACTAATTTGCGGTATAACTTGTCGATCACGAGTGGCTCAACAGGTAGATCTATAGATAAACTCATCTTTCAGGCATTTGACCGACCGGGTTGACAATTTAGCGTGAGAAACCGGGGGTGTGGCGTACGTGTGAGCGTGTGAAACCAATCAAATGCGGGTGTCTCACGGCCAATGCGTGAGAGTTGGCAGCTCTGCAATGTTGATCCTCGTCAACATTGACGATGATCAACCTTTGCTTTCTTGTTTTTCTGTGCTGCTTCGGCCATGACTATAACATTTGGCTCGCAAGTCCGATTTTAAGGAAGTGGGGGTGGTGGTGGAAGTGACGTATATGCCGTAAAGCAGTCGAATTTTGTAGTTCTCTTTGTTCGCCGGTTACTACCCGAAACCCGAAGTTTAAAAGTACGATTAAAAACGCTACAGACCCCGCCAGGCTATGGCAGACGTGTCATTCAACCTATTGTAAGTCGATGTTCCATCACAAGAGACTTGGAAATATATTATGAAGGTTGAAAAGTAACCTGTTGTTACTTTAAACTAAATCCATAAAATAATCACATGATGGAAACCCCTAAAAGGTTCAATACATGAAGCGTCTGACAGAACCCTTTAAGGTTCTATATAGAACATTTTCTTTTAATACTGAGGCGATAATAAAAGCGTAAGGTTTGATTGGATATAATTTATCATTATTTTTTCTCATCGGCTGCTTATCGGATGGTATGGAAGCTTGTTTCCGCCACAGAATAAAACATTTCAAAAGATAATTGTGACTTTTTATCTCAGAATTGCGAGATATAAACTCAGAATTGCATGTTATAAAGTAAGAAGTGCGAGATATAAACTTAATATAGCTCACAATTGCGAGTTTATATCTCACAATTCCGAGAAAATATGTCAGAATTGTGAGATATAAACTTGCAATTGCGAGTTATATAAAGTCAAATTCTAAGGAAAAAAGGGTATAGTTTTCCTAGAAGTGGACTTTATATAACTCGTAATTCTGACTTTATAACACGCAATTGTGACTTTTTTCTTGCAATTGCGAGTTTATATCTCGCAATTCTGACATCTTTTCTCGCAGTAAACTCGCAATTGTGAGAAAAAAAGTCAGAATTGTGACATTAAAAGTCGCAATTACCTTTTTTATTTGTTATTCTGTGGCGGAAACAAGATTAGGATGGCTAAAAATAAAGTTTCTGGCCCAAAACGTTTCTGGCCTTCAGAAAGACGGAATGAAAAAGAATGCAGGAAAGTATGAATTGGACAGGACAGCATTTCTAAACATCCTCATTAACTTGAAAAAGAAGATTCACAGTCAATACAGCAGCGTCTTCACAGATCAATAGCGTTTTCATTAAAACGGTTATCACAGTAAGTTACGGTTCTGCTAATTGTTGACTGAAATGTAAAAAGAAACGAATTAGGGTAATTAACGGCAAATTTCAGCTACACAGGACTGAGTGGTAAATGTTTTGACACCGCAATCAAAAGGCGTCATTAGTCGTCTCCTTTTGACGTGCCACGGTATTCATTTCTTCTTTAGAGCGCCGATCACTTCTAATGGAGTCTTGAAATTACCACTCTGGCTGAAAACCGGTGGGAAAAAGAGCCGAGCACATTTAAGTCTGATATAAGAAAAAAAAAAACATAAAACACCAGGAAACACAGCCCAACTCATTTTCTCGGCTGGATATCTCCCAGTGACACATTTTTCCTCGGGTGATGCCAAATTCACATTTTATGTAAATAAAAGTGTCTGTGTGGAAAGAAAAAGCCTGCCCTTATCTGTCAACTTTTGACTATTAACCTCGGTGACAGGCACAGGCAGGTTCCTCTTATCTAAATTGAAAAACAGAGTTATTTGAATATCAGAAAAGGAGAAATGCAATATGCTTCTACCGTGGAATCTCACGCATTTGCCCTCTATTGCTCCACGGAAGAGATAAGACAGTATTTAGCCCAATGTGGACACAGCTTACAAGAACAAAGTGACTGAGGCAAATAATTTGACTCTTTAAAAAAAAAAAAAAAAAAAAAAAAAATCTGCTTGCTTTTAATGGAATCTTTTAATGGAGAACAAAGGGATGGCGTGAGGTTTTCCCCCTGGCAGGTGTTATTAACTAAACAGAAGTGTTGGACAGAATTCATAAAATCATCCGAACCCGAGGGACTAACACTATGTATTATTTAACTCAGATCTCAGATGTGAAAGAATGCATGTTTTATCACTTAAAGTCTCACAAATTTGAATTTGATTCCTTACGTATTATGCCAAAGAAATAACCCCTTCAGTGCAGAAAACTGTGGTATAAAAACATTTGAACAGGTTAATACATTAAACAATCTAAAATATGAAAAGAACACAAATTGCTGCTTCAAGCAATCAATGAACCGTAAAAATGAACCCAAACGCATTTAGTAAATCATCGAGTCTGCGAGCATTTAGAAATATGGCTTTAAAACCCAGGTCCCGTTAGAGAAAAATGCCCAGCGTGGATGTCTGGAAATTCATTTGGTCATGGGTGAGATGAATAGTGAAGCTTGTACACATGCTTATTGGCTGTTTATTTCCCTCCGAGTCTTTGAGGGAAGGCCTGACCTACTTACAGAGAGGAGGGATCTCTTCTGCTAGTCTAATCTTCAGAATAGCACAAGACGTCCCCACGAGACCGGCTGCCTTGTTTCTCCACTGAGTGCTGTGTCTATAAAGGCAAACGCAATTGGTGGGTGACTCGTAATATTCTGGGCCAGTCATTGTGTGAGACAACTGATGAAATTGCCATTGATATTGTGTCAGATCGCCTTCAATGTGTCTGTGCAATTATGGTAATAGCTGTGATTACATGAGTTGCCATTTTCAATATAAAGAGAAAAGAGGTTAAGAAAGTAGAAGATGATACACTGGCTGGACTACATCATGATGATCAAACTAGACTGTTCAATTTACATACACATCTTTATAAAACTTTATTATTATTTTATGATTCTAGTTGTATCTAAAAACCGGTTTTGAAAGAATATTTGTTGGCCACAACATGTCAGTTTTCATTAGTCAAATCAACCTTACAATTGGAGCGGACTGCATGTTAAATAATAACCAATATATATATATAACTTGTGAATATGTATCTTTAACTAGACATTGACAAAAAGTCAGTAAATAGACTCACAGTAATGATTCCTGGTTCATTTCGAGTTGAATGATTCACTCGAATGATTCCCTGAATGATTCACTGAGGGATTTTGATTCAAACTGCCGAAGCAACGGCAAATTTGAAGTTGTATCATGATTTATATTGACTGACTCATTAATAAGAATCATTTGTTCATGAATCGGACATCATGGCTCATCCTATGTTTGTGGTCGCATGCAGGAATCACTGGCTACTCCTGTTATCAGACAGGTTTCCTATTTTTGTCTGGCCCTATCAGGCAATGGTGGGCGGAGTTAGTTAAATAGCCTCTGCCAACAAGGCGGGGTTTTTCCATTTGATGTAAATAGACACTCTGTTCAAAGTTGTGCTGCTAGGGTGTTGCTAGGGTACTTTAGGTGGTCGCTAGGGTGATCTGGGTGGTTACTGAATAGGACCATGATATTCTAGTCTCTAGATATATCCCTTTTTACATTTTTTTTAATGATTCACCATTAAAAGAGGCCTGCAGCTGCACAGCACCCATACTTACACGTCTCCATACCTTCGTCATCTTCATCGGGGTTGACTATGGTCACACCTGGCTTGTCGTATGATTTGTCGATGGCCGCCCTGAAGCTCTCGTTGCAACCCCTTCCCCTGATGATCCTGGGACGAGGCCTGTGGAACGGGACGTCCCCGTTGAGCGTCACCTCTGCAACAGCTGTCTGGAGGCTCTCCAAGGAACTGGACTTCTTCAAACCTAACGACGGTCCCACATCTCGCGTGGAGTTGCCTTAGGGTGGAGAAAGAGTAAAAACATGCCAGAAAGAGAAGAGAAAACACTCACTTTTTTCCTCAATATATCCTTCTCTCCTAATTCATTTCTATCATTTACATCCCTTGCTAAAGACAAATGTGCATACTGGGTCACGTTTATCTGCAGATGGAGTGTGCTAAAATAATATGGAATATAAATGAATCCACTGGATGCGAAGTGAGGTGTCAGGAAGATTATCCGTCTTGCGAGGCAGAAAAACGTCACATTTTTAACTCCTGAGGTCATTTTTGCTTCTTTTCCCCAATGTGTATGTGTGTTTGTGCAAGACGATACGAGAGAAAGAGAAAGCGAGAGCGCATAACTCCTCCTGTAGTTTAAGGCACTGATGGATGGGCCAAATATGAGGCCCATTATCTTCGCTGTGTGGTCGTGGGAGGAGGAGGAGAACAAGAGGGAGGAAGAGCAAAGCTTGTAGACTAAACACACAAGACTCGGAGAGTCCTAGCCCAAACTCCCACAACTCGTCCGCTTAATGACCTTTTCATGCATTTAATCCACTTGTTCCTCTCGTTAAGGGTCCCTCAAAAAGACACAGTAGACCCACACTTCAAACACGCGCCAGTGCGGAGACAACATTAATCCTGCTTATGAAATCCTGTAGAGGAACAATTCTGGAAAATAACTCAATGAAAGCAAATGGGCATGGCTGCTCGGGTCAGGGATTTGCATGTGTGTGCGCAGCGTACACAATTAACACTAAATGTGAGCTTTGGAGAATAACAAAATGTCCCTTATATGAAAGTTCAATGTAATATGGTTTCAACGGAATTGTTAAAACAGTCCCTCAGTTCAATATGCATTACGTCTGTGCATATTCAATAATACAATAGATCTCTTCTGTATAATTACAGGTTTTTAAGGTTTCTTTGATGAACAAAAAGTTCAAAAGAACAGCGTTTATTTGAAATAGAAATCTTTTGTTACATTATAAAAGTCTTGACTGTCACTTTTGATCAATTTAAGTCATTAAATACTTGCAGTCTGTAAACATACAATACGCACAGAGCTGTGTTTGTGTAATTGTGCAAACCCTATGGAACAGTTGCCAAGTACTAAAAATGATCTAAGCCACCTGCATGATTGGATAAAACAGTGTAGCTCGAACAATAAACCTTGATAACTGCCGGTGTGCACGACTGCTTCTACACACATGCACAATCGCCTCAGTGATGTATGATTCCTAAAATGATGCATCTCATTGAAATGTATAGCGCAACAGGGCAGTGTGTGTGTGTGTATGTTTAAACACAATTAGCATGCAAATGATAAATAAACAAACGTTAACCGACAGCACCGTTACTGTTCTCGTGAGCGTAGCCAAGACTGCCAGTTCTGTTTGTTGCCGTAGCGTAAACCTGTCGTTTCTCACTCGGAGATCTTCATGTCAGATATTGATGGGAAACGTCTTGGCTATGAAGCTCATAATACAGCCTTAACTCTGTTTGATTTACCTTTCTCCGTTTGCACAGCTCGGATAATTTTTCCGATGGCTGCTGTTGTGTGTTTAGATTTGGCTGATCGTTCTGTCAGCGCACGCCTGACACAGAAGACTGCCCACAATAAAGAAGAAAAGAAATAGAAATATTTGAAAAACGTAGTAAATACAACACGTGCCAAGTTCTTAGAAATGCACTTCATGTTGGTTTCATATGGTTCAAGAAAAGATTCAATTTAATGACTTTTAAAAAGTCATGTGGTGTAACCATCAAGTATATACACTCACCTAAAGGATTATTAGGAACACCTGTTCAATTTCTCATTAATGCAATTATCTAATCAACCAATCACATGGCAGTTGCTTCAATGCATTTAGGGGTGTGGTCCTGGTCAAGACAATCTCCTGAACTCCAAACTGAATGTCAGAATGGGAAAGAAAGGTGATTTAAGCAATTTTGAGCGTGGCATGGTTGTTGGTGCCAGACGGGCCGGTCTGAGTATTTCACAATCTGCTCAGTTACTGGGATTTTCACGCACAACCATTTCTAGGGTTTACAAAGAATGGTGTGAAAAGGGAAAAACATCCAGTATGCGGCAGTCCTGTGGGCGAAAATGCCTTGTTGATGCTAGAGGTCAGAGGAGAATGGGCCGACTGATTCAAGCTGATAGAAGAGCAACTTTGACTGAAATAACCACTCGTTACAACCGAGGTATGCAGCAAAGCATTTGTGAAGCCACAACACGCACAACCTTGAGGCAGATGGGCTACAACAGTAGAAGACCCCACCGGGCACCACTCATCTCCACTACAAATAGGAAAAAGAGGCTACAATTTGCAAGAGCTCACCAAAATTGGACAGTTGAAGACTGGAAAAATGTTGCCTGGTCTGTTGAGTCTCGATTTCTGTTGAGACATTCAGATGGTAGAGTCAGAATTTGGCATAAACAGAATGAGAACATGGATCCATCATGCCTTGTTACCACTGTGCAGGCTGGTGGTGGTGGTGTAATGGTGTGGGGGATGTTTTCTTGGCACACTTTAGGCCCCTTAGTGCCAATTGGGCATCGTTTAAATGCCACGGCCTACCTGAGCATTGTTTCTGACCATGTCCATCCCTTTATGGCCACCATGTACCCATCCTCTGATGGCTACTTCCAGCAGGATAATGCACCATGTCACAAAGCTCGAATCATCAAAAAATGTATTTCTTGAACATGACAATGAGTTCACTGTACTAAAATGGCCCCCACAGTCACCAGATCTCAACCCAATAGAGCATCTTTGGGATGTGGTGGAACGGGAGCTTCGTGCCCTGGATGTGCATCCCACAAATCTCCATCAACTGCAAGATGCTATCCTATCAATATGGGCCAATATTTCTAAAGAATGCTTTCAGAGCATTCTTTTTTTCGTAGAATTAAGGCAGTTCTGAAGGCGAAAGGGGGTCAAACACAGTATTAGTATGGTGTTCCTAATAATCCTTTAGGTGAGTGTATAAAAAAATACTTCAACGAGGTTTTTAAATATACACTGCCGTTCAAAAGTTAGGGATGGGTAAGATTTTTTATGTTTCTTATGTCTCTTATGCTCACCAAGGCTGCAATTATTTGATTAAAAATACAAACAAACAAACAAACAAAAAAAAACAGTAATGTTGTTAAATATTTAGAACTGAACCTGAAATCTGAACCAATAGAAAAAATGGTTCTGCCCTGATATATTGAAGCGCATGTAAATGTGACATTTATTACAATAGGTTCATGTAAAGATTGTTTTAAGTTCACTTAAATAAAAAGTTGTTATATTTTTAAAAGCCTAATAAATGTTAAAATCGATAGATTTCAATTAACTGTAATGCTGAATGGCTATAATTTATGGCTATAAATAATTTTTATAGAGACATCATTATTGGTATCGGTAATTCCGGCCTTCTTTCATTAAAAAAAGATGCCATTAAACAAATATTTAAAATATAGGTGACTCTCTTTATGTTGTTTCTACATTAATTTGGAGATTAATTATGAAATTATTACAATATAAAAATATGTTAAAAACATTATGTGCAGTAGTTTATTAACTACACTCTAAAAAATGCTGGGTTGTTTCAAAACAATTTTGGGTCAAATATTGGGTCAAAAAATTTAAATTACATTTTTAATCCAAAGTTTGGGTTTGTCCATATTTGACCCCAAATTGGGTTGAAACAACCCAGCAAGTGTAGTGTAGTTATTTTATTAACCGATTGACAGCACTAATATCGATATAAACGATATAGTCACAATCTGGGGGGAAACTTGGAGTTTGAAGTTCCACACGTACAGTGGTTAAAACATCACTATTCATTCAAGCACATACCGAACCGAACGACCTGTACCCTAAAATGTATAGATTAAGCAATACGAAAACAGCATCACACCATTGACCCATATCGAGATTCAAAATGCAAACAGAATTGCACTCTCTTTCTGTCGAGCTACGATGATCTGTGAAGCAGGTTCAGGCACATTTAGATCTCGAGCACTTCTTGGAACTGACGTTTGCCTTCTCATCAGACCTTGAACACTGGGGCTCTATATATACATCCAGACTGCATGTGGTGGCACTCTGTGTAAACATGGCCGCTTTCATTCTCTCTCATTCCTGTCAGACGATGCATTAAGGTGGACCCGATGGTTTGGTCCTTCTCCCAAACACATCTTCCCTCCATCTACACTGAGATTCCTGACTCGCTTTCAGAGCTAAATGGAGCGTATCCGCCGGTCGCTGGGAGGAAAGACATGAGGCAAAACAGAGATTAGCTAAGCAAAATAAACCCCCGACACAGTAAGAAAACAATTAGAAATCTATTACAGAACCTCCTCTTGAAAGACGGACGTTTGAAACATCAGTGAGTGTGCGAGGAGCGAGGGCTCGGGGACGATTACAGGTATTTGAGGTGTAGGGATAGTGTGGGAAGTGTCGGCAGAGCACCAGGCCTGTGGCGTAATGCAATCCAGAGCCGCCACTGTTATCATTCTTTCACAACTGGTAGCAGCTTCTGAAGCCACGGGTCCTTTAAAACCCTCTTGATCCTTTAACCAAGCAAACCTGCGTGGAGGAAAAGACTGAGCAAACTAGCTAGTGCAAATACTGGCCAATTAGGACAAAGAACTGCACAATCCTGAACTGGCGACACACTCGGTTTCTGTATATTCATGGGATCTTTCATTAGCAGGAACAGTACGCCGCTGCAAACACAGGTGGTTTGCTTGTTAGGAACATGACGGATGGTTTTAAGACGAGGTCGGACGCGCCACAGGCTTTTTAGACCGTTTGCAGGAGCTTTTCTGTTCGAACGCTTGGAAATGAGCAGATCCGGCCTGTGTTTGTCAGTGTGAGATTTCTAAGTTCATCCAAAAATGTTAATTCTGCCATAATTTTAACAAAGTCGTTGCTCCAAAACTGAGTGATTGTTTCTTTTGTGGAGCACAAACATTGAATTTTTCAAATTAAGGACTAATTAAGGACTCAAAAAATG